TAAGATCCCTTCAACTTCACTCATCAATGTTCGGAGCATTTCGTCAGAGACAAGTTGTTGCCCTAGCAAAGCTCTCAGGATCTTGCGAATGGATCTGATCGTACGCTCCCAGGCACCATCCATGTGCGAGGCTGCAGATGGATTAAATTTCCATGTGATATTCTTCTGATGAAGAAAATTTTGGATTGATTCTTGATTCCAGTCGCTCAACAACTCGCGTAACTCCCTCTCTCCAGCTTGGAAGTTTGTCCTTTTGTCACTATAAACAGTAGTTGGACATCCTCGTAAATTGACAAATCTTCGCAATGCATTTAAGAAGGAATCAGTATCAAGTGAGTTTACGACTTCTATATGGACGGCCCTGATAACCAAGCAAGTAAATATGCACCCATAGTGTTTCACATTCGAGTGACCTTCACATACATAAAAAGGGTCCAAAGTAGTCCACGCCTACGTTGGTGAGTGGCGGATCTCCTGACATCAGTCTTTCCTTTGGTGGGTCGACCATCAACTGCTCTCCACGCACTGCACCAAGTTTCTTACACTGGAAACAGCTACTGATCACTCTCCATACAGCTGAACGTCCCTTGATTATCTAATAGAACTGATACAAACTGGACAGTATGTACTCTTGCGCAAGATGGCCAGTTTTCTGGTGATGCTGAGAAATGATCAAATCCGTAGCATGGTAACTGTAGGGAAGAATAATTGGATGTTTAGCCTCATACGTGATTAAGGCATTTTCCAGTCACCCTTCAACTCTTAGAATTCCGATGTCGTCCACTAATGGATGCAGTTTGCGCACAAAAGCTGGCATCTTTAACCTGGAAGTTACTCGGCGCAAAGGCTTTGATGAACTCATTCTTTGCATGGTTCTAATGACATCTGGAAATGACAGTTTTTGTACATGCTTGATAACTTCCCCTTCTGCAAACTGAACTTCTTCCACAGACAGGACAGGTCCCTTTTCTAACCAGCACTGAGGTCTGAAGTTAGTGGAACCACCACGGTATCTTTCAATGAACCACGTTTTGAATCTCAGTAGCCAGGCCACAGCTCTTCTTAATCTGTCCCAAGATGAGTAGCACTCTATCAACTTGGAAAAAACTTCTTCGCCTCAATGACGAGTCGACGACTGGTTGTAGAGCTGAGTTTCACGTTTGATCTCTGGATCGTTATCTGATAGGTCTGGTTGGCGAATTGTAAGATCACAGGGCCAAAACTCTTGCCACTTCTTCAAAAACTTGGGACCGCTCAGCCACTTGCTGCTTGCACTCATTTCGTCCGCTGTACGACCTCTGGAAACTTCATCCCCTGGGTTGTGTTTAGAACGGACATGCCTCCACTAATGGGGTGCTGAATTCTCACACATAACATGACAACCGGTTTGCAACAAATGTGTGGAAAGGCTTTGACTGATTTCTGATGTACTGCAACACACAGGTGGAGTCTGACCAAAAAGTCAATTGGCTAATCGGAATGTCTGGCTCTTTTTTTACAGTCTGGTCTAAGACTGCAGCTGACAGTTCCAATCTTGGCACAGTCATTGGTCTCAGAGAAGCAAGGCGAGACTTCCCAATTAGAAACGTGCAAAGGATCCTTTCTTCGACATCCACCAATCTGAGATATGAGACTGCTCCATATGCAACTTGTGACACGTCTGCAAAGTTGTACAACTAGGCAGTTCTCAAGTCTCCAAAACAGGCAGGTGTGACGCATCTGTCTACTGTTATCAGTGAAAGATTGGCCAACTGACTCTTCCATTTCTCCCACCATTCACCATCGCCGTCGCTGATTGGATCGCCCCATCCGCGTTTCTCTCTGCAGAGATCTTGTTAAAATTTCTTGGCTGGGAGGACAACTGGTGCAACGAACCCAAGTGGATCATAAACAGAACTGATCAAGGATAGTATACCACGGCAGGTGTTTGGTCTGTCTTTAAGAGCAACCTTGAACATGAACTTGTCACTCTACAAATCCCAGTGGAGCCCTAAGGTACGTTGCATTGGTAGCTTATTCTTGTCTAGATCCAGGTCCACCACTGATGGAGCTTTCTCAACTTGTGGAATTGTATCCAGAACTGCGGATCTATTGCATGACCATGCGGTGAGTCGAAAACTGCCTTTGGAGAGGATTTCTCGGACCTGGTCATCGACATAAAAGTTCCTTTTGACAGTCTTGACTACATCCTGTGATAATTCATCTCTGTTGTCTTCTGCTGTCCTTCTTAGTGCAAAGCTGGAACAACTCAGAGATGATGTCGGACCTAACAAATGGACCTCCATACGATGGTCAATTGGTTGTTGGGTCAAGTCTCTGTCCGGCCACCAGAGGAATCTGAATGCATCACGGTCATCTGGTACTACTTGGATCTGATGGAAAATACACTCCATATCAGCAGACAATGCAACTTGTTCTTCACGAAATCTCATCAGCACACCAACAATAAAATTAGTCAAATCTGGACCAGTAAGGAGCTGATCATTGAGAGACGTTACCTTGTGTTTTGCGGCACAATCAAAAACCACTCATGTCTTTCCAGGTTTGTTCAACACCGGGTGATGGGGAAGGTACCACAGCGGCTTGTCTTGTATGTTAATTTTGTTAAGTGGTACTAGTACTCTTCTTGCATGACCCTTGGCAAGATATTGTTCCATGGTGGCCTTGTAATTTTCAAGGAGCTCGCTATCTAGCAGGAGCTTGTTCTTGAGTGCTTGCAGTCTGCGGTCAGCCACAAAACGGTTGTAAGGCAGGAATGGCAGGTACTGTCTCCAAGGAAGTGCAATTTGGTAATGACCATCTTCAAGTTTCACCTTGTCCTCCTGTCCTCCAGTGACATGCTAACCTTGGATTCAAGAATAACTCCAGAGTTCTCTACTGCCCAGAACCTTTCAAGCTGGTGCATGAAACAATCATCATCTTCTCTCAAGGCCTTCTATGAACAAATAAGGTTAACATTCAGATGACAGTCTTTGCCACCACTCCTTTCCATTGGGCCCATGAGTGTCCAGCCAAGAGGTGTATGTGTGGTGTATGGCTCTCCTCGGTTATTGCATCTTTCTTCTAACACCCAGAACGCATCAGGAACGTTGGTGCCTATGATCAATCAGATTAATCTTTCTTTGGTAGCTTGATGTCGTGCAGGTGAGACCATTGTCTTGCATCTTGCTCCGATGGGATACTGCAGCTTGGAGCATTCAATTTATCAACTGTCCGTAGTCTTGTAACGTCTACTTTGTCAGTTCCATCCAGTGCCTCTAGAGTTAGGCTGAATTCATAGCCAGCTCTTGGGCTGTCTTCTTTCTCTTGGGTCGTCAAGTAAAACGTTTTCTGTTGTCCCTGCACACCGAGCTCCACGGCCAAGCTCTTGTCACACAAGGAGATGTCTGAACCACTGTCTAGAAGGGCGTAGGTTTCCATGATCTTGCTTGCGTCATCATGACAGCATACTTTTACAGGAACTATTCTCAGGCACACCTTTCCTCCTAGAGCCGAGTTACTGTTTGCCTGGCCACTTTGTCATGGAGTACCGCTTTTATCCTGAATCCCTCGATCAGCCACTCTGTCTCGACCTTCGACCACTTCTTGTGGAGATGGTGGGTGAAGCAAAGTGTGATGTCTTCTCCTGCATCCTTGAATTTCACATGCACTTTTCGCTAGGCATCCTACACTAATGTGGCCATACTTGAAGCAATTAAAGCATAGCTGAGCTTTCCTCGTCACTTGTAGACGTTCGTCGAAATACTTGTCTTTGAAACTATTGCATTTCGCCAAGGAATGATTTCCATTCCACAATGGGCACGTCAGGGTTGTAGCGACCTTACTGGAAGGCAAACTCTGTCCACCACCAGGCTTAGTCTTTCGTGAATTGAACGTGCTTTAACGTTCTTCAGATGATGCACTACCCTTTGGTTTTCGCCTCTGATTCTCTGTCATGCGCAACCTCTACCACGCAACCAAACACTGGGTTATTGGCAGCTCTCGCCTTGACTTGGACAAACTCGGCGATGTGGCTGATATTTGTCCTTTGACCAGCTTGCTGAATTTGGTCCGCTAGTTCCACAAACTTGGTACGGAGATGGAACGGCAGTCTCTGGACAATTCTTCTTAAGTTGTCTGCACTTTTGATCTCCTCCAGATATCCAATGGATTCCAAAGTGTGTTGACAGTCTTTCAATCTGTCCGCAAATGCAAGTAGTCCCGCGCGATCCCATGGTTTAAGCGGGGGTCCTTCTGTTAACTTGGTTACGTATTTCGAGGCAATTGTGAAGGGGTGTCCAAATCGTTCTTCCAGCAGCTCTCTCGCCTTTCGGTATCCCAGGGATGAATCCATGACTAAACAACACTTGATCGTGTCCTTTGCCACTCCAGATGTATACTGAAGGAGATACATGAGTTTTTCACTTTCGCTGGCTTCATTGCTCACGATGCTGTTTTCAAACGATTTGATAAAGTTCCAGTACTCGAGAGGATCACCATCGAACACAGTCAATTCCTTTTTCGGCAATGCAAATCCCTGCTTTATGGTTAATGCCATCTTATCCACAATTCCTCCAGGCAAGGTAGGATTAGTTGCTCCTGGATGCGCAACGGGTACAGTGGGACCTACTGACCAACTCGTAAACTCCTGTGCATTAGGATTCAGCCGCAACTGAGCGTTTCGAGCACCAATTTTCCGTTCGACTCGAGGATCAAAATGTTCCTGCTCAGGGACATTTGCTGCTCT